GTTCCGTTGTACTGCTGTCTCGCCTAGGAGGGGTATTTCGGTTTCTTCCTCAAGTGCTGGGAACCAGGGACGCCAAGGAAGCGTGTCTCAGCTGAAGGGCAGCACGGCCTGTGCGGATTTGGGAGCCGCTGCCCAGCGTTTTGCTTTAGGGGCAGTTTTGATGTTGGTAACAAGTGCAAGTGTCCACTCTTGAGCTTGATCGTTTCCTTATTTACCCCTGCTTAGACTTGTATAGTGACAACACGAATGCTGTCCTTTCGGGTTTCCTGAAATCAGAGTTCTCTGGCAGCTTCCAGAAAAGCTTTTAGGACTATCACTAATAATAGTAGAAAAGGATTTATCTGCAGTGTCTACTTAATGCCTTGGCTTATTTCCTAGCTGCATGCAGCTCTATAGACATCTCGGATTGTTCATCCATCACGACTTTTTTTATGTTGCAGGTGCTCTGCCGGTACCAGCACATCTGGAATATTGATCTGCACTTCTGTCCAGCTTTCCTTGGTGGCATAATGCAAGCAACTGGTAGGCAATACAGGGAGATTAGCTCTGTAGGGAAGTACCTTCTTCACTAGTAGGACACTAGTGGACAAACTCTTAGTGAGTGCAGAGCCCACAGAGCCAGCTTTAAACTGAGTTTTGGCACCAGTAACATTAACTACATGATTGTGGAGCTCAGTAGTGACTGCCAAAACAGCCACAAGGAATTTCATATTGTGCAACTACACAGCCACTGTTTGTGGTACGTACAGTCTATGCCAAAGTTCAGCATATCTAAAATAGGATAATAATAATTTTATATGGAATGTTTTCCTAAAAGTTTTACGTTTCGTTCAAACGAGAAATAATTTGTAGAACACTTGCAGTTTGTAACATGCATGAAGTATCCGAGTATGCCATAAAATAGTACTTGTGGCCTTATTAGACGTAGTTAATCATTGACACTTGTAACTCATAAATCATGAAATTAACAAGTCTCTACATTTGTTTACCCACGCATTAGTAGTTGTTTAGCCTACAAGTCATCTGTCTGAATCAATATAAATCCCTACTAGGACATTTGTACCTCAGTTTAAAACTGGTTCTGCTAACTTAAAGGGTTGATCTGTGCAAAACCAAAATAAATCATGTTTACATCCTAGCATTGTCTTCAGAAAAGCTGTGTGTGTTTCAGTAAGCCAATATGAAATTATACTCTTTCTCAGACACATGTATGGATGAGGTATAATTTGTTCAGTTTTGTTTTGCCCAGTGTTATTATAATACAGCTGAAAATCTCAACTTTTTCTGAAAGGTAACAAGCCCCCAGCAATGTTGCCAAAGCGTGCAGAATACATGCTGAAGGATATAAAAAGGATGGCAAAATACTACCAAGTGCCTGTAAGGATTTCAGAAGATGACTTCCCACGTATCCTTGGTACAAGTAAGTAAGATACTTAGCTTAGCTGGTACCTTTCAACTCTAGCACTTCTGGTTCAGGTTCTCCCTAACAGTAAAGGTGAAGATAAATGTCTTGAATGACGATGAGCTGTCCACAGCCTCTTCCTGTATCTGTGAGCAATATGAATTATGTGCATTTTTAACAATAAAAGGAACTTCTGGAGAAATATGCTTATGAATGATATTAGCATGGAAGATATTGTGACTCAACATAAACTTTACTTTTTGGGGACTGTTACAGAGAAGATAATACTGTTCTTAGGTAGCACTTGTGCAGACCATATCTGTTCCTGATCCAGTGTTTCAGTATGTTTCTCTGTCTTCCCACTGATCCCAGGCAGTCTTGGGGCCATGCGCTTTATCACAGCCATCGACATGACAGAACCACGGTTCTTGGAACCCTTATCTAGGGAATTCTGGATACGGTTTTGGTCACAGGTCAGTATTTTATGAAACCAACTTCTTGATCCTTTCTCGGTCACCATTCCTGTCCCACTTCATTCAAAAGTGGAATTTGAGCAAGAAAAAGGAAGTGTCTTTTCGTGAAAATTCATAGCAGGAAACTTAAGGTCATAGTGGTTCAAGAGCCATCACAAAAAAAGAACTAACTTATAGTCAGCTTAATTTGCCTTCTTTTAGCTATATATGGCGAGTCCTGTGGGCTGAGTGGATCAGTAGTTCCTATCAGAAAGCACTTAATAAATTCCTAGATTAGATGACTTAAAACTTTTTCTGAGGAAATTTCTCCTGCAACTAGTATTTGTTTTTATTTCTATTTTCTTAGAAAACTTGCTTTCAAGTCCAGAGCTGAGCTTTTGTTCTTAATTACTGAATTATTTATTTTATTCTTTTGCCAGCGTGAAGATATCAGTCAGCCGGAGAATATATTAGCTGTAAGTGTCTCCTTTTTGTTGGTGCTTTTGCATTTCTGATACAGATTCTTACTGATGGCTTGGATCAGTAATAGGCATGAAGACAGCTTAGTTAAATGATCACTTGGAGTTTTGAAAAATTTCACATAGAAAAAAGTGGATTTAATTCCCTAGCAGTTCTGTTTGGAATGATTTTTTATTTTTTTATTTTTGGTCATGCTTTTAATGACACCCAGAACCAGGATCTCCTTTTTTGTTGTTTCATGTGGCAAGATACCCAGGATGGACAATGAATTATCTATTTTATTATTTATCTATTATCTGTTTTACAGTAGTGAAAGTGTGATCAGTGTCTCCAGAATGCACTGAGGTTTTGCTATTATATGAAATCTTCAGGTGAAATGCAACACTTTGGGAAAGTTGACTTTCCTTGGAGTGATGGAGTCAGACTTTACTAAATTCAGTGCTGTACTGCCCTTTTACATGCTTAGAAATCATACTCTTCTGATGTATTTTCTTTTTCTGTTTAGATTTTGTTTATTACAGTAAAAGCTGTAATGGCATGTAAGTTAGTATACCATGAGATCCTCTTTAAGGGCTCTTATTTCTACACTTTTTTATTTTTTAAGTTCTTGGAATATGAAGAAAAGAGGGGAATTGTCCATGACTAGTCTCTCCTATCCAACATCCCTATTTGAAAGCTGAAACTTTCAGTCTTGCTGTTTTCTCCAGAGTGTAGTCCTTGCACTCAGCTTCATCTTAGTGTACCTTACTTTTACCAGATTTTCAGCAAAGGTTTGCATTTTGTCTTTTCAAGAGGCAATTCGTGAAGGATATAATTAAACTGTGGTGCATTAACCCTGGTAGGCAGCTAAGCACCACACAGGTGCTTGCTCACTTCCCACCACTGCACAGTGGGACAGGGGAAGAGGAAAAGAAGAATAAAAGCAAGAAAACTTGTGGGTCAGGATAAAATTGCTTAATAAGCAAAGGAGAAGTAGAAGAAGAGAGAAACAAAACAAAGCAAGTAATGCAAAGGCAGTCTCTCACCACTCCTCACGGGTAGACTAATGTCCAGCCAGTTCCCAAGCAAAAGGTGGCTAACCTCCCTAAGCCCCCTCCTCGCTGCTTATTGCTGAGCATGATGTTATATGTTCAGGTCATCTGCCTTACTGTGTCCTCTCCAAACCTTTTGCGCACCCCCAGTATCTTTGTGGGGTGGAGAGTGAGAAAACGGAGAAGGCCTTGGCACTGTTCAACAACAGCTAAAACAGCAGTGTGCTATCAGCATTGGTTTGGTCACAGATAGAAAACACAGAACCATAGGAGTTGATGGAAAGAAAAATAACTCCATTCCAGCCAGACCCAGTACATAAATATATAAAGTCCACTCATAGTCTCTGAATCCATCATTACTGAAATAAAGATAAAGCAAGGACATACAGAACTTCAGAGAAACAAACTTCACACTCAGATCTCTCTGTAATTTAGTCACTGTTTGGCGGTCTAGCTGCCTATGTTCAGCAAGGCAGAGATGTGGGCATCTCCTTGTTTGCTTGTGTCTGTCTTCATTCACCCCTGCAGCAAGTGCTAAACATTCCTCTTTTCTGGAAATATGCCATCCAAAGATGGGCGAGGGGTCCCAACCCTTTAATCTGAGTATTTATAGGTGAATAAAAATGGAATGTTGTTTACTTGATACAATTCCTTAGTATTTTTTTACTACTTTTTTTAGTCAGCAGTAACTTCACATAAATTACTGTAGAAGCAATGTATAATCTTTTAATCCTTTGAGTCCACTTAAATACCCCTTCTGCGCTAACATGGTGAGGTCCAGATACTATGCTTCTGTGTAAATATTGCAGTCTAAACGCTGATTAACAAGCATACACAGCATTTTGTTCTACTCCACTGCTACACTTGTTTATCTCCTGTGAAGCAGAGTCAAAAAGAGCTCCTTATCTCCCTGATGTGGAAGTAGAAGGCACAAGAAAATGTGGATGCTAAACAAATAGTGATTGAAAGAAAGAAAAAAAATCATTAACACCTGCATGTGCAGGATTACCGGTCTGTGTGCAGTACCGTAAGCATTTTTTTTTTTTTTTGAAAGAAAAAGGGCTTGTCATTCAGGTAGATGGCATGGAAGCTAAAATTTTTTGTGAAATACTAATTAAAATAGGTACTTGTAACTTTGATGTTCCCAATAAACATTGGACCTTTACTTTTGGCCCCTTTATCTCAATCCTGTGTGGCAGAGGCACAGAGGAGCCTAATACCGCAATAACACTAGCAACTGTTTCAAGCCTGAGCTAGTCTCTTTCATGCAGTATCACATCTAGATCCTACGTGGCCACGTTTGTCATAAACACTGGTTTTGTTTTGGCAGGCTTGTACAGTAAGATTTTTAGAACAACAATTTTCAAATTTTGTTTTTTTGTAAGTTATAAGTCATTGTATCAGAAATGAAACTTAGTATTTCTCTTTTTTTATTTCTTTTTTTTTTCTGTTTAGGAACTCCTAAAAAAAAGTGCAGATTTGGGGCTTAGAAGTTTAAAATATCCCTTCTACTATGTATCTGAGAGTTGATAAATGATAAATAGGTTGGGAATTCAGCAAGACAGTTGAGCAAGAAGTGCTTCAAGGGTATTTTGTAATTTTTTTGGTAATAGACCTTGGGTGGTAATACTGAAGATTAAATCAATTAGACCATAGTAGAAATTAGAATATGTAGTATTAGAGTACTTGTAATTATATCATCTTTTTTTCAGGTTGCAGGACAAGCTGGGCTATCACCAGAGCTTGCCCAAAAGCTGCTTGAAATGATTTCATCCCCTGCAGTGAAGAACCGACTAAAAGAGACAACAGAGAAAGCAATAAAATATGGGGTGAGACGCGTCCAATGCCATTTGGTATCACAGCTATGCGTTCCTTGTCTATTAAAAATACTGTGAAGCAAGGAACAACAAAGGTGGTGATTAGAAAGCACTATATAGACCATCTCTCTTAGGTGGTCTTTGCTTTTTGAACATGTGGGAGCTAACTCACTGTAGTTGGTAGTTCATGTCATTGTCATCTGGGAAGCCAAGGTTGGCCCATTCAGCAAATCCTAGCCAGACAGCAAGGATGGGGAGCTACAGGACCAGTACTAAGAGATACCATTTATCGCTACTTGACATAAAACTGCAGATTTATCAGGTTGCTTTTTTTGCTTCTTCAAATGCAGCACACAGGCTCCAGAGTCCCCTACTTTCTGATGGCTCCATCAGTCTCACCTTTAAGAATGAAGAAGGTGAAAAGAAAGGGAGGAAAAAAGTCAAAGTTTTTGCTTTTTATTCCTGAAGACTGATCATGTGTCTGTAAAAATTTCTCTCATTGTAACATTCTCTGTTTCATCTCCATGACGTCAATAGGCATTTGGGATGCCTGCTGTTGTGGCACATTTTAATGGGGAACCTCATCTCTTTTTTGGCTCTGATCGTTTAGAGCTGCTAGGCAGCGTTATAGGTGAGTATACCTAATAACATCACTTCTGGTTTCATGCTTTCACCCTCTTTTAATGAAGTGTGTAACAGCTAAATAAAACACTCTTGGGGTCTTTCAAATATTAAATAATGTTGGGTATTCTTCTCGTGGGATGAAACTGCTGACTGGAATGTATCTCAGTACAGTTAGTGACCAAAGATGTAATTTTTCCAAACTAGAAGTAACTTGCATTCTCTATCCTTTGTTGGTATGTTTCAAGGCTTTTTGCTCCACATGCCATTCTCAAATTACTGCTGAAACTCTTTAGTTTTCAAAATGTTCATATTTAACCGTTTTGGTACTGGGCATTGGGTCTTGGCTAAGATTAAGACTATGGCTGATAATGCTTTTTTTTTTTTTTTTTTTGTAGTTTTAACATTTTCGTTTTATATCTGTTGTTTCTTAACAAAAAGTACATTATCACAGCTCCCCAATCTATAACTTGTAATTACCTAACTACACAACTTTTTAACAGAAATTCTTATATGGACCATCCTTCTTTTCATTTTTCTATTAATAGACTATGAACTTTAAATTTTTAAAGATAATTGGAATAGGTTGTGATAACTAATAAAACTCAGTCACCTGCTTTACGTGAGCTAGAGGGCATTTGACTATTGATCTCAAGATTTGGCACTTGAGAGAGTTTATCACTAGAAAGAGTTATGGGCATAATTAGCTCTGATGCATTTGTTGAAAAGTTTCAGCAGAGAGTCTTAATGAAACTAAAATTAGTCATAGGCTTAAACAGAAGGGAATTTTTGTGAGGCTTATTTTATTTTCTGGATGGGTTTCTGATTCTATAAAAATACTCCTGATGAAAATGAAAGCGAGAAAGATGAATACCCAACACCCACTACAATAGTCACTAATCCTAACTGGAATATTATGGCCTGGTTTCTAGTCTCAACTACAAGGACTTCAACAGGTTTTCCTTTTGTTTCTCTGATTCCCCTGCCTTCCAGCCTTTTTCTCTTCCTTACACCCAGCCCCTCAAAAAAGGAGTTGTAAAAAGAATTGGCTTCACCCTTATGTGGAGTGCCACAGACCAGCAGAACCTCATCTGTGACAGAGGAAATTAAGTCTTCTGTACAGCTTCAGTTGGGACTAGAAGAGTGAAGGATTTAGGGAGCTGGCTGAAGCATGCCAAACAAGATACAAATTTGTATTCCATCATCAGTAGTTACCCTTCAAAAGAAGAGTAAGAATAGTCATCCTACTGCAGAAATGTGACTAGCTAATCACTTCTATGCATTAAATTTTAACTTTCTCTTTTGTGCTGGTTTGTCTTGCAGGTGAAAAGTGGCTAGGACCAGTTCCATCAGTTCCAAGCCCCAAAATGTGAAAAGTCCTGGGGAAATATGTAAGAGTGAAAATATATATGTACATGGTCAATCTTCAGTGATTATCTGAATGTATCCAATTTTATGGAGCGATGGCTTTCTCATCCTTAACAGCTAACTTTACAGCTCAGTCTCATCTCTAATTAGGAAGAAGTTCAAGGTTTGCCAGTATTACCAGTCAGTGAGGTCTTCTCCAATACAAATGTGCTGCTTTTCTTTCAACAGATTAATGATGAACATTAAAGATTAAACATTACATATTTAACTTCTTGCAGATTAAACATTCTTCTTTCCTGATTAGTTCTCTTTCTCTCACCCTAAAAGCATGAGGATTAAATTGTTGTTATGGGACTGAGATGCCTGGATTTCTTGTATCTTCCTGCTTGTCCTTTAGAAACACACACACAGAGACAGCCTAAAAGAAGCTGGCCCCATTCTCCTTTTATTTTAAGTCCAAGATACTACATAGACACTAGAAGCACAGGACAAGGTATTCATGCTGCCTTTTACTCTGCAGCATGGCAACTGAAGGGGACATGAGAGAGAATAGTGGAAGAGAGAGGGACAATTCAAGCACAAAGAAAAATCTGGGGAACCCAATCAAGTATTTCAAAAGGAATTGTCCCCCTCCTGAACAGTATTTTATACCCCTCGCTCTGCAGTGGCTGACATTTGAGGAGACCACCACGCACATCCATTCTCGGGCACCAACCACAGACCTTGCAGGAGTTTTTAATTAAAGTCAGTTTTATGGTAATGTCTCTGGAGAACAATGGTGAATACCATGTAAGTTTAGTTGGTAACCTAACCAGACTGCGTTCTGTTTCCTCAAGGATGGCCTAATTGCTGCCTATCCAAAGGTGATTTGGATATGGCTATGAGGGACTTCCTATCATACAGTCTGCAGAGGGAAAAATATGCAAACAATAAAATTAAAACCAAACCACTTGATTTTTCACTCTCATCTCCGATTACAGTAGTTAGAAATTTCACACTGGCCCTGTATTGGCTGAATTGGAATAACACACTCACTCAAACTAATTTGATTTGTGAGACTTGTTTTCTCAGTGATGCCTGGCTGTCTCTGACGCATCACTGAAGGAAGCAGAAGAACTAGCAGCAGCTGGAATTCCATTTTTTGTCTCCTTCTGATCTTTAAGGTAAAGTATATTCTTGCTTGTTCACCTGAACAGCAAATCCTGGAACAAAGCATCAGAAAAAAAATCTCTATCCTTCATGTTCTTAACAGCTGTAAGTGTTGTGGGAATATCATTTGTTCCCCCATCCAGAGTTTTTCCTTCTTACACCTCTTTCAGCTCTTCAGGAAATATCCTACAATTTGAGAACTCCTTCCCCCTTTCCACCAGTGCACCCATTAGTCTTTGGGCAAATCCAGCCTGGAATTTAAGGAAATCTTTGTGAGATACAGGAGGCTACGTTAATTTAGGAGTTAGGATGACAGGGAAGTTACCATGTATGTGTACGCCACAGGTTTCTTTGAGTCCCTTAAAGCCACGTTAAAGACATTTTTTACCATTTCCCCCCTGAAATTTGCCAGTCTCCAGTTTGTGCTACTAAACTGATTCTGCGGTTGTGATAAAAATGGAAAGACTGAAACATCACTTTGAGCCAGATCACCGTGGTGACCTGGGGCCACTGCCATAGGCAGTGCTGCCTCAGAAATGGGCAAAATGGGAGGTAAGGCACTCTGCTGGGAAGGTGGGGACAACGCAAGGAACATCTTGAAATAATCTCATGGTGGAAGCCACGGTCTCATGAAACTTTGTCCTTTGACCCAGCTTGACTAATATAAACAGCCTTTGTGACAGAACATTGTTGATTTGGCAGATGCACCAGATGAGATGGACCTTACAGACTGCTATGTATTTCCCCAAATTATCTTAAAGACTCTAAGGAGACCTACTTGAAATCAGTGGAAATTAAATGCTCAAAGCCTTAGGTACTAAAATAGTACTTAAACACCACTGAGATAAGGAAGACCCAAACTCAGGATTTTCCATACATTGCTTATTGCCTGTAATAACCACTAGTAAGTGGTTACAGCCTTTGTGCTTGTATCAGTGAGTATACATAGTGTTGCCATTCTGACTGCATAGCTACTTCAGGCAAGTTGCCTGTTTGGAAGCAGAGCTTTGAGGAAATTCTGCCTCATGTTTAGGCAGCCTTACTCCTGCGTTACAGAGACCTGATGGTAAGCACAAGCTCTTAGCAGACACTGATTACCCCAGTAAACACTGGCTGGCAGCTATATTGTCATTCTTAGTACTTAGCTTTGGTGTAGAATGCATCTAAGTGGTCTCAGTGCTGAGTACCAGCTTCTTTACCTGGCTTCTCTTTCTGATCTTCTGTCTGTAAATGTCACAGCCTGCTGCAACACTACAATGGCCACCACTGCATGGAGTTGAACTGTTTATCTCACTGTTGTGAATGCCACCAGGTGGCAGGGCAGGTAGAAGTTGAGCATTACTTGAAAAAACTTCGAGGATCTAAACTTTTGTGTCTTTTTACCAGGCTAAGCAGTAATAAGAACTGCCGGCTATATACGAATAGCTGAAACAAATTTCTTCCATAAAGATGATACCTCTTCTGCTTAGCTAAATATCAAACTAGTTCCCAAGACCCTCACATCCACATCACTTTCAAGGTAGCATGCTGTTTAGCTGTCAAGCCAGAGAAGATACTGGGCAAGGAAAGGGACTTTGAGCCAAGAGGGACTGTCAGTGACTCAGGCAAAACTGGACTGTGAACTCTAGGGAACAAACCTGGAGTTGTGTTCCCCTTTGCTCTGTTACAGACCTCTCTAGGAGATCCAGTCCCACTTCCCATGTCTGGAAATCTGTGGAACTGGCATGAGGAGGTAGGTCCCACCAATGCTAGGCTGAAAGCAAACAAGCAAGCATAGAGGTAGGCTCAAAGTCACAAAATGAGCAAAGAAAGTGGTTCAGTAAAATAATGAGACTACAGGAAGGAGAGAATAGGTGCAGACTTGAGCAAAGGAAACCAGACAATGAAAGAAAAAGAATAAAACTGAGCACAGATCAGGGCAGAGAGAGGTGTCTCAATGGGAAATGGTGTTCCCTGAGAAGGAGCAGGCAACGAAGAAAGGCAGAGCTTAGGTAGGTTAAACAGGCCAGAGTCAGTTGACCACAGAAGATCATTTGGGGAAGAAGGGGTAGGATTAACACTATTTCCTGTGAAGCTGTACAGTGCTTGCTGCACTCTCTCAGTGAGGCCAGGGATGGCCCCGGGGCCTGCATCCACCCTGCACCATCAGCCTGCAGCACTGCTCCACACCTGTTACCTGTGCTCCTCACCCAGTGTGCACTGAGACAGTCCTCCAGCGGTGACCTCACACACAGCACAAAATGGACGCCTGCAGAAGAAGGCAGTTCTTTAACCTTCCCCTGCAAGCACCTTCTTATTGTCCTTTCAACCCTCAGCAAGCAAAGCCTCCTAAATTAAGTGTCTCTTTCCTCCCATCCTTATCTCTGTGCAAGTAAGAAGGAAACATTTTATTAAAGCACTTACTGGATTATGGTGCTGAGCATCTGCTTTGCTGCCTTTTCCTTTTCCAGTGGAGCCAGCAACACTGCTGGAAGGAAGCAACCTGCTTCCTAGAAGGGAACCAAGCACAGAACAATAAAGAAATAATCAAGAGGGTATCCCAGGAGCTGCACACATAGCTGGTTTTACCCCAAACTTTTCACAGATCTGTGGCTCATCCACAGGTAAGAGTGAAAGGAATGTATCTACACCAAACTTGACTAATGTTACCTTGACCTACTTCTCATTCCAGCTTGAAACACAAGAAAAGTGACTACTTGGCTTTCATTGCATTCAAAAAATCACTGGCCACTGGTTCCAGACTGTGTTTCAATGCCAAAGCTGTTCTGGCTATAGCTTCTTGCCTAAAGAAGCTATGTCTACAGCGATCTAATGAGTAATGAAGGCATTCTGCAGCTTTCCCAAATGTTTCCATCAGTCCCGTTTTCAATTTCTATATGTCTATTGTTATACACAAGAAATAGTTTAAAGTAATACAGCAGGTTTCAGTAGGTGACATCATCATGTAGTCAAGCTAAGAAATGCCATTACTGAATACATCTGTGCAACCTGAGTGCCTTATCCTTAAGAATATACTTTGTGAAGCAGACTCTAATCTTATGCTCTCACAGGGTTTCTCATTCTCCTCCTCCCTCTGTCCCCTCCCTTCAGATTCCCACATCTGACCTCAGGATTTAAGGAATTTGTCTATCACCTCACACCAACACCATGGCAAAACCAGGGATGAAATACCTTGCAAAATTCACAAACTTGAAACATTCTTTTGCTTCCTGTAATCATCTTACATTCACCATACACATTTCATAAGAAATTAGTATGACGTCTCTAATGTAACAGCCCTCTTTCTTACACCATTCTAATTTATTCTTAGGTGACCCTCCATCCTATGCACTAAGGATGGTTTAAAATTACTAAATATCCTAACTTCATAAATAGTATAGGTTCTAGGAGTTTATGCATAGCTGTATTGCAACAGTAAATCTGTATTATAACTCTTTGAATCAAAGGAAAATTGAAAGAGCTTGAATTAAAGAGTTGGTGTCAGTGTGGAATGTGCAGTGGGGCAGAAAGAACAGACGAATGACTTTGATGGTGTACCTATCCTAAGAAAGCTGTAAAATTCAGCTAATGAGGGATTCCTGCAGGAAGATGGTAATCTAAGATGTTCTTTGCATAAACATTTTTTTCCTTTTGAACTACACATGACCATACCAATATTTTCTAGGGAACATATGAGATGCAACTGTGTTTCAGCAGTTTTTTAAGGTAGACTATCCCCTTTCCCAGTTTCATGATGTAATTTAAAACTCTCAGGTTTAAAACCAAAACTGGTAAATCAGTGCCGTTTTGTTTAAAGCCACTGTGGCTTTAAACAACATGGATTTGGAGTACCAGGATTCTTCTCCATTTTGTATATATGCCAGCTCCAGTACTTTGAAATTTAATTATGATGTATGTTTGTAGGTAGTGACTAATAAATTGAGTAATTGAACAAAACCACATCTAAAACAACTATGCATATTAACTAACCTAGAAGTGTCTTAAAGTATTAAGGAGGGTTATAGCTGAATTTATACACTGGCCTCGAGGCTAAGGGGAAAGTCACCTCTGCCTCATGTGATATGCACTGTCATATGAGACACAGTGGTGCTTTAAAGCCAACTCAGAGAATAGGAGTTTTGGTAATGGCAGTTCTCTGTATCTTTATCTAGCTCTGGTTGCATAATGACCACAGAATGCTGCCATTTTTCTTTTCTGTAACCTTGCTCTCTCCACCTGAATGGGAAGTTAGAGAATCCAAGAATGTGTACATGGGCTAGGAATTCTAGAATCATTCAGCACAAGATCCAGACTTAGAGTGGGATTCCAAAATGTCTTTGGTTTCTTCATAAAAAATGAGTTCAGTCTGATTTTACACACATTAACTGTGGCTGAATAGTTGTTGTATAGCTGACTAAAGGGCAAAACTAAAACACCCGGATGCCTCTCTGTGTCCCGGGGTGTTTTCTTTGCTTTCAGTTTAGCTTAACTCTGGCATTTCTTCAGTTTATTATGCTTGGTTATGGATAATTACAGTTCTTCCCTGTTGCACAGATTAACTCAAATTATCAATGTTCATTTAAATGTAATTTTTGCCTAGGAATAGTAACATGTATTGCCACGCTTTATCTTTTGGTAATTAGTCTTCTATCAGGACTGGCTGTAGCACATAAGTAAAAAACTTAATATTTGCAAAAATCAAAATATATCATCCCTGTTTTTTTTCCTAAATTTTTGGCACAACAAATTGCTCTCAATCCTATCTTTTTCTAGCTCAAGAACTGTCAGAATTTCTGGAAAATAAAATTTCAAAAACTTTGAAGTTCCTAAGGACAAGATTTCACGTTCGTGCTTGGAAAATGCAGGCTCTGCTCTGCAACCTCACGTACCTCACACACATGTAACCTTTTATTTCCTTCCTCTCTGCCCCTTTACCACAAACACATTCTAAATGGTGTGGCTGGTGACATCATAAAGCCTTCTTACAGCAATCAGCAATGGTACTCGAGACTACATCTCTACAGTCTCCTGATTAGGTGAGTTGATTTCAGCTAGTCAGAAAAGTACCCACTATGTTTATCCCTTTTAACCACAGCTCTCCTGGCGTAAATCAGAAGTCCATATACAAACCTGCATGTTTATTGGTGTACCTTTATATACTTTTTTTTTCTTAAATCTCTGCACTGAAG